GAAAGTCGTCGCTCTTGGCTGGTGTGTATGTTGCCAGCTTCGAGGCGTGGAAGACCGGATGGACCGTCAGATGCTCTGGAATGTTGATCACAAATGAAGGGCCATCGGGCTCATCGCCCGCAGCTGCTGTCACAGACCAAGGTCCAAACCACTTGGGAAGCAGTTTGCGTGAAACATCCTGTTCCAGTGCAAACTCTTCCGCAGAGACCCAAACCAGATCACCGGCGCGGATGGGACGTGTTACGTGACGCCTGTTGGCTTGCTGCTGCATACGGACTTGAGCCTTTTGCATATTTGCGCGGGCTTGAGTCAACAATTCCCTGTACTTCCGGACGGAAGCGGGAGAGCAGGCAGCGTCAATGTCGGTTGGTTGAGGGAGGAGAATGTCGGCGAAGATACGGCCTTTCCGTCCACCGTGGTGCAACTCGAATGGAGTCACGCCGATCGCCGGGTGCACCGAAGTGTTGTAGGCGAACTCGATGTCGGGGAGGCGGTCAACCCAATCTTTCTGGTCCGGACGGATGAGCGTACGAAGCATCATTTGAGTGGTTTGATGTGCCCGCTCCGTCTGCCCGTCTGTCTGAGGATGCCGAGCCGAACTTGGTTTCATTATTGTGCCGGACTCCTGCATGARAGCAGTCCAAAACACCGACATGAAACGAGTGTTGCGGTCGCTGACAATGTCTTCTGGTACACCGTGGCCACAAATCCAACCAGTGTGCAGGAGGCGTGCYAGCTCGRGAGYCGTGGAGTAGTACTTGCAAGGGAGAAAACGCGCGTACTTACTCAATCGGTCCACAACCGTGAGGATGCCGTCGTGCCCGAGCCGGTCGCGAGGAAACGGACCGGTGACGTCCATGGCAATGGAGAGAGCGGGTTCCCGTGGGATAGGCATCGGGTGTAACTCGCCGTAGGGATTGCGGTTGCGGACTTGCTGCGTCGGCAGACTTCGCAAGAGTCGCAATACCGAGTGACATCGGTAATGAGTTCAGGCCATCGGAATCGCTGTCAAAGTCGTGCAATAGTGCGGTTGACTCCGAAATGGCCGGGGAGTCGTGAATCATGATACTCGCCGAGAAGGCGAGCCGGAAGATGACGGTCGCGTGGGACACATAGTAAGTCCTTGCCTCTCGAGTGGAGGAGCAAGTACCCGTCGGCAATGCAAAAATGGCTGGCCGGCGGGAGATCCGAAGATAGCTGTGCATAGAGCGTGTCGAAGTCCGGATCAGACTGATATGCCCGGATGAAGTGTCGCTGAAGCTCCTCGTCGAATGCGAAGGCATGATGTGTCATAGCGCAAAGATCAGGTCTTTGCGAGAGTGCATCTGCTGCGCGATTGGAGAGGCCGGGGACATGTTTTGGTGTGAAGTCAAATTGGTCGATGAAGTACATCCATCGTCCGATCGTGCTGCTCACCGTGTCCTGCGTCTTGTAGTAGGTCAATGGATTGTTGTCTGTGACCCATGTGAACCTACGACGCCCAAGGAGGAAGTGCCGCCAGCGCTTGAGAGCCATCACGAATGCGAGCAACTCCTTCCTTGGATCATCAAGCGAGTTGATGGGAGGCACTTTGTGGCTGAAATACTCCACAGGGTGCCAGTCGTCGCGGTCGTGCTGTTCCAAAATTGCCCCAATGCCATAGCCGGAAGCGTCCGTAGTCACTCGCGTCGGCAGGGTGGGGTCATAGATGCTAAGGACGGGTGCCATGAGTATAGCCGTCTTAAGTGCTTGGAATGACCGGCGTGCGTCGTCATCGAATACGAATGGCACCTTTGGCGACTGTAACCTCATCATAGGTGCAGCAATCCTGGAGTATCCGGTGATGAATCGCTGATAGTAGCCCGCCAACGCCATGAATGAACGAACGTCCGTGGTGTTGGTGGGCTCGGTCCATACTCGTAGGGCCTCGATCTTGTCCGCAAGCGGACGGATGCCTTGCGGCGTCACATAGTGTCCCAAGTACTCCAGCTCCTGCTGTGCGAACTCGCACTTATCGCGGTTTGCTTTGTACTTGGCTTGTCGTAGCCGCTCCAAAACGGTGCGCAGGTGTTCCACATGCTCGTCCAAACTCCGACTATACACCAAGATGTCGTCGAGGTAGATGAGTACAAACCGATCCAGCATGTGTTGGAACTCCGTTGTCATAGCCCCTTGGAAAGTGGTTGGGGCATTCGTAAGGCCAAACGACATGGCCAGCCATTCGAAATGCCCATACTGTGTCTTGAATGCGGTCTTGTAGCGATCCTCCTTGCGAATCTCGAGTTGATGGTACCCTGACTTGAAATCCAGCTTAGAGAAGAACTGGGCGCCGCCCAATCGCTCGAGAAGGTCGTCGATGCGTGGGAGAGGGCCGGCATTCCTGATCGTGTGCGCGTTGAGCTTGCGATAATCGATGCACAATCGCAGGTCCTTGTTCTTCTTCCGGACGAAGAGAACAGGAGCACCGTATGGCGATGAGCTAGGCCGAATCCAGCCTTTCTCTAGAAGGTCGTCGAGTTGTGCCCGAAGCACACTTAACTCTTCCTCGCTCATTCGGTAGATGCAACCGCGCAGAGGTACGGCCCCGTCCTCGAGGATGATCTCGTGGCGGATGGGTCAATCCGGTACTACTCCGTGCGGGCCTTCGAACACGTCGCTGTAGGCATCGAGAAGCTCGGTGATGCGTGGATCAGAAGGGGAGTCCGTCGATGAAGCGTCATGGGGCGGGAGGGCGTGGAGAAAACACACCCCCATCTCCTTGATGTCGTCTCTGATGATGGAAGCTCGCATGCTTGCAGCGGATACCACGTGGCAGGGAAGAGGCACCGTGCATGGAACTACTACTCCATTCCGATCACGAATGTGAACGCTGCGGTGGAAGAAGTTCATCGGGTGATCCTCGCTTCGCAGCCATGATATGCCCAAGATCATGTCAAATTTGGTGTCCAAAATGTCAGAGGACACCGCCTCACTTGCATGAGGGGCAAAGTACATTGAGACGTTGTCAATGCACCGGTCGATTGACTTGTGTGTGTGACCGTCTGCCAATGTGACTTGCGTAGGCTGGGGCTTCCTCTGGACGCGTGGGCCAAGGCCGGCGCGCACCATGAAGTCCTGGCTGATGTAGTTGCGAGATGCTCCGCAATCGATCAAGGCACTGCAGGTCGCCTCTCTGATCTGAATGCGTACGTAGAGCAATGGTGCGTCGATGTCGTCGTACCGTTGCGTCTTGAACTCGCGGTCGATCTTCGTGATGTAAGCGTGAAGGTCGACAACCTCTGCTACGGCGTCCATCAATGGAACTGGTACTGCAGTGTGCAAGTAATCCCGCAATTGTGCCATAAGCACGTTGCAATGCAGTTTTGGCCATCGTCCGGTCGAGGGAACGGGCATCCACTGGAAGTCCATGAACCTCAACGGGTCGAGCTTTTCAAGTCTTGACCATGACGTCGAATCCCCGGCGATAGATTGTGGCGAAGCTGCCGAATCGGTTGTCGATGGTGATGAAACCGTGCATGCGGTAGATTGTTGCACGTGGAGCGGTTGGTCCAGCGGTGGAACCAAGTGGACAGCATAGTCCTCGTAAGTGTAACGAGAACTTGCGACATTCGCGTTCTCCCCAGATGTGCAGGAGGCCGCTAGCAAGGCGGCCGAATCTGGCGGAGTAGAAGGTGGAGTCGCCTCACCTTCCGCGGAGCTCAGTTTCCCGAGCTGAGGCGGGGTCGCACATCCTCSTTGCCCTGATCTTGGTACAGGGAGGTCTTGTGCTTGGTGCTGTTGCACCAATAGCAGCTGCCGTAGCGGCCGCGGACCTTGTACTCCGCCTCGGTCAAGCCGAACTTGACCCATGGAACTTGTACTGGCTGTCCATTTCTGGCCTGCGATGCGGATCTCGCCTTCCTATTGTTGCGGGACTTGTTGTTGCTTCGCGGCTGGACTGCAGCCACCTGATCTCGTGACTTGATGATGGAGTGGCTGCTGGGTTATCTCCACTGTCCTGCTGGACTGCAGCGAACTGCTGCTGTCGCGGACCAGTTCTTACCTTCTCCACATAGGTTGGCTGCCACGTTGACTTCTCGTGCGCAGCCGCCCTATTGGTCTTGATGAGCTCTCTCGCCTTGTTGATTATCTCCGCGAAAGTGCTGTACTGCTCGCGATCACCAAGTGCGAGGCTGAGAGCGGCGCATGACTTGTTGTAGAACTCACGCCGCAAATGCGGGAATGGCAAGTCCAAAACGGGCGTTGCCACGATCTTCTGCCAATCCGTGAGCCAGTCACGTGTCGGTGTGCTTCCTTGAGCCATCGTGAAGATGCGGTTGATGGCGAGTGTCGGGGCATCGTCGACGATGAACCGCTTCTTCCATTCCTTTGTCATATCTTCCCAGGAGACCTTCTTGTACAGGTCTGAAACCTGGACGCCGTGGATGGTTGCCATATGGCTGAACCAGATCTGACATCGTCCCTTGGTGTTGATGAACAGAGCACTGATGAACAGATGGTCAGGGACCTCGTGAATCCCCAGCTCCGTTGTAAATCCTTGTCACCAGACGACCGGGTCTTGATGTGTGCAGTCATCAAATTTCTCGATCCGGAACGTCGGCATCTTGTATGGCCTCGCTGAGCTGTTGTTGTGGCTGTGGTCGGTCTGCTGTTGCTGACTGATCCTGGTGTCCAGCAGCTCGAACCGCTGGCTGATGGTGGCCGGCTCTGTGAAGGCACTTATGTCTCCTAGCATTGCCACTACGTGGTCAACGCGTTCCTCGAGTTGGCGGCTAGAGGATGCACTGCTGGAAGCCCCAACATCTAGTCTTGGTACAGCCTGTTCCAGGCCCAGTACACGGGCGTCCAGTGCCCGTGTGGCATCCTCGTGCTGAGTCTTATGATTCCGCACGGCCCGCTGGAGGTTTGCCAGCCCGGACTGTAGGTGGTTACATGTGTGAACCAACCTTCTCACGAGCTTGGCCATGAACTCCTTATGCTGCTCTTCCGGTGTCGCGTCGTCGCCGTTGGGTTCAAAGTGCCAGAATTTGAGTTTGTCCACGCTTGCTGATTCATGCCGCTGCAGCAGGTCCTGGGCTTCCTTGCGGCGAGCCTGGGCATCTGCGTCCGCTTCGGCCTGTAGCCTGAGCTTCTCTGCTGCTGCCGCTTCGTCAGCCTGTTGCTGGGCAGCCTTGACTGCCAGCTGGCGTTGTTCCTCAGTCGCGATTAGGTGAGCTGAGTTTCAAACCGTTGTCGGTATTCGGCAATGGATTCATTTGCCAGTTCGCCTGGCATGCCCAGAAGTGAGCCCGTCATGGTGGCGGGGCACTGCTGACGTGGCACTGTCTGATGTGGCACTGCTGACGTGGCACTGCTTACGTGGCACTGTGTCTGATGTGGCACTGTTGACATGGCACTGCTTACGTGGCACTGTGTCTGATGTGGCACTGCTTACGTGGCACTGTGTCTGACGTGGCACTGTGTCTGACGTGGCACTGCTTACGTGGCACTGTGTCTGACGTGGCACTGCTGACCTGGCACTGTACCAACCCGGAAATGCATGCAAAGGGTGGGTGGGAGGGAAAACGCAGGTAGGAAACCAACCCAACAATACTTTCCTCCGGCACTAATCAACAGATAAAATAAAAAATAAAAAATATCTGTCGATTTATGATGAGTAGGATATGTCAGAAGAGTATTATGAACGAGATCTGGGCTAGGTGCCGCAAAGTTTCGGCTTTTACAAACTGCGATCTTGAGAACTTTTTTTTGCGAAATGGAGTAAAGATGCGATTTTCAGAAAGAACGAAATCCAGTTTCTGAGAATATGCAACCTCCGAATATGCCTAACGCAATATTGGTAGGCTTCGCAAGATTCGGTTTTCAAAAAAAAATTTGCGAGATAGAATGGAAATGCGATTTTCAGAAAAGAATAATTCCAGTTTCCGAGAATATGACCACTTCTATCATTATTCCGATATGCCTAGAGAACGAAATACTAACTTCAGAAATTTCAGTTATGTATGGCTAATATCAGAGAAACGAAAAGCTACTATCGGGAAGTTTCAGACAAAACGAAATGCGATTTATCAGAATTTTTCAGATATTTGTTACGTAAAAACGAACTACTAATATCAGAAATTTTCAGGTAAAACGAAATGCGAATATCAGAAATTTCAGATAGTTGTTGCAAGAAAAAAAAAAATTCAGAGATTTGACTAAGTCCTACTTGCGTTACTAATGAGTGATCAATAGATCGCAAGCTGGCTACTTGATTTAGCGGGTCCTCTGAATGAGAGGTCCGCTCCGATACCAAACTGTTGCATACTGTAACGTGCAGACCAGAACAAGAACC